GATGTATAAGCTAGGAAAGAAACATTTTTCAGGGTGTAAAATGGAAACAAGTTTTGTTCATTACTTTTTTAGATCTCCACTCAAATTAAGGATTATTAACAAGAAATTAGTATTTTACCACACTCTTCCCAAAGATATGCCTGTATTCAGAAAAACCACTTGGTTAAATCAGGGGGTAAGCAATAATGTCCACCTAAGGGATGGATACGTATTAGATTTTTACTTGCTTTACATTTGAAGTTTTTTCTCTGTTGTATATTATAACTTGCCTTACCTTCTACGATCAAAATTATTCTTCAGTTGAGGAAAACCTAAAACCCATCATAGTTACTGTTCTTATTGCACCCTAGCCCTGTAACAAGTTAGAACTTGGATAATTAAATAAAGACCCGCGGAGTGACCTACCACTTTTTAAATAAGATGCTTTTATGACAGCCAGCACCAATGTAGCGTCCATTTCAGGGAGCCATTGTCCTTGTGCCAGACATGGCTTTGCAGGTGACACAAGGAAAGCTGAGTATTGGTGTCTTTTATTTTTCCAAGTTTCACACAATAACTGTGCAGCAAGTAAAATCTCGAGCAGTGTAAGCTCCCAAAGAGGCCATGCCTTTGTGAGGAGCTCGTGTACTCGGACATGAAGAGCACAGCTGAAAAATTAACAGAAAGGAAATAGCCTTGGGGAGCCTCAGTGCTGGAACTGAAGAAATAATTTGGTACTTGTACAGACAAGTGCTCACCAAATTCTGCACATCATAAATAATAATAATAATCATCTCTCTGCCTCCCCTGTATCCGATGGGAAATGCATCTTCCCCTCTGAGAAAATGGCCTGAGCTAAATAAAGGTTTGCCCTTTACAGGGAGTGAGAGAGATGGGAGCTGGACATTCAGGCTCTCATCTCTTTCCCAAAGGAAAGCCATTAAGCGTATAAAATACATATGTTTTCTCTTCAGCAGCTGTTGGGTTTCTCAGCCCAAGAGCCATAACAGAACCACAAGGTTTGGAAAATTTCTGCTTCCCATATCTGCCCCTCTCCCCACCAGCAGTAGTGCTGAATCAGTGAAATAGGATTGTGCATCTGCGCCTCGTTAGGCCAGTACCTCTAATTAAATCATTGGCAAAAAATGACTTTGAGCTGCTCTGCTCTGGGGTGGTGACTCATGGCGGAGGGTGAGTCTGACGCTTTTTATGGTAGTGTCTGAAACCATCACTGTCTGATTTACAAGGAGGTGGTGGTCCTGAGAATTAAACCCTGACAGAGCCTTCCCATTCGCTGAAGCGCTATGGACAGACCTTTCACATGCCTAGGTCAGAAGTTTTTCTTTTCTTTGCCTATTTCTAGAGAAAAAAAAAAAAAAACATGGGAGAATAATTATTTGCACAGTTTCGTAGGATCCTAGTGAAGTGTCTCCCAGCAATCTCTGATACTGCTATTGCCTGAATGAAGAAGTGCCGTGCGCAATGCAGTGCATTAATTTGGATTAGTTAGTTAATGATGTAGATTGTCTTCCGCACAACACTCTGCAAAGTTTTGCCCAGATGTGTTGCACGGGGGGGCATAGGATCTGCTGTAGCATGCAGGGAAGACCTGGGTGTGGGGAAGGGAGGGAGAGAAGGGGGAAAAGGGGACCTGGTTGGCAGCCTGTCCTCGCTCAGCCCTTTCCATCTCCTTCGCAGGCCTTGCGATGAAAACCACCCCCGCGTGAAGCCTGACGCGTACGTGGACAACCTCGCCGAAGCGGTTGACATAATCCTCCAGCAGCTGTAAAACCGCCGGCGCCGGGGGGGCGAGGGGGAGCAAGTGAGGCCTCTCCGTCCTCTCCCACCTCCATCTGACGGGAGCCGACCCGCACCCAGCCTCGCCCGGGGTTGGGGGGACACCCGCGTCCCTAAATATTGCGCGTAACGGCCTCCTGACCCCACCAAAGGCACCACCACACCCGCTTTCCTCTGGCACGTCTTGAGCGCCTTCCAAAATCAGGCAAAATCAGCTCTCCCAAAAGTGCCGGGTGGAGCTGAGCCTTGTCTGTCCGAGGGGAGCCCTGAGGTGGGTGAGGGGCTTCAGCCTCCCCCAGGTGATGCTGGGGGGGGGGGGACGACGGTACCCCCCCTTTAACCCTTTGCTCACTCCGGGGACCCAGCCTGGAGGTGCCTGGGTGGGAAATGGGGGGACCCGACACCCCTTCACTAACAGGCTCTTCCGTTTCACTCGCCCATACTGTGCCTTTTGGGGTGGGGGACGTCCTTGAGGGGCGACGGAGGCCACCAAGCCCCGGGCTGGGGTCCAGCGTGTGCCTCTTGCTGTGGGTGACAGTTTCTGCAGCGATTAACCCCTGGCCGGCACCACCCCCAGTTAGGGCTCAGAAATCCAGTAACGCTGCGACACATTATGGAATAACGGCGCTGTCCTGTCGGGAATAAACCTTGTCCTGCAGCTCTGGCCCGTTTGTCGTTGTGTTCGGTCACATCAGCACTGGCAGGGATGCTTAGAGGATCTGAAATGCTTTTCCCTGGCTGGAATAAGCTGACGAGGGCCATGGGACCACTGGGCTTTTCCTTCTCGCCGTGGGGGGTCTTGCAGGCAGACCTGGCTGTTGGGGGGGGGGGGGCACGTGGTTTTCCTACTCCTTCCCGTCGAAATCCCGGCCGTGCAGCTGGGAGCTCACCTGGGCACTGTCGGTGTGTTGAGCCTTGTGCTCACACGGCGCGACACGGCGCGACACGGCGCGACACGGCGCGACACGGGGCGACATGCTTGGCCTTGCCATGAAGACCAGCGTGGGCAACTCAGCTCCAGCCGGTGCTGGCACTCCTGGCTTTAAGTCTCCAGCCCTAGCTGGGCACCAGTCTCTGTAAAGCACCAGCTCCATCAGTCCTCCTGCCACGACTATAAACGCTGCTTTATAAATACTTTGTGGAATGTTCAGCCGCTTTCCTTCCTGGGAGCCGTTGCTAAACATTCCTCCGGTTCTGGATACCAAAACCACACAGGCCTACACCACTCCCTGATGGCTCCAGCTACCTGAACGGGACGAACCCCGTCTGTTCACTGAACATCCCCCGGGACTGATCCTGCACCGGCACCACTTGCGTGCTGAGCACCCGCTGCATTAGTTTGGCCCCAGCTCAGCCCCATCCTGCTGCTAGGGAACACTCAGAATGTGCGGGGCTGCCAAGCAATGCTCCAGTGAGCTGGAACAGGCATGAGATTTATCTTTTTATTTAAAAAAAAAAAAAAAAATTAGAATAAGCATTGCTAAAATGAGCTGCTCCCCACCGCTGCAGGACTCCAGCAGATCCCCGGGGTTTTCAGTTTTGCAGCGCAGCTATTGCAGCGTGTGGGGTAACACTTGGCAAGAGCGTGGCAGGGATGGGAGCTCAAACCGGGTAGAATTAGAGATTTGGGGGGGGGGGAGGTCACTTCATCCTGTCCTCTGCCCCAGGGGAAGCAGGGGGTGTCCACCTTCACTGACGCCTGCCAGCATTTGCAAGGGTCACCCTTTTATAGGCAAAAGTCCCCTTTTAACCAGCATGTCAGCAGCTCTGCACCCCCTCGGGTTTTAGGCAAGACTTTGTGCTTTAGGCTGAAGTGCAAGGAGACCGTTTGGGCTTTAGCCACAAAAGGTATGCAATTATGTATGTGTTATATATATTTTTATATATATATATATAAATATATAATATATATTATATAATATATAATATATATAATATAATATATAAATATATAATATATATAAATATATAATATATATAAATATATATATATATGCTCAGGCAGAGTGCTCTGTTCGCTGTCTGCATTCACCTACTGCTCTCTCCATTTGCAAAGCGGGAGGTAAATAATTCCAGCTATGTTTCCAGCAGTCCCAACAGCTGAAGACAAGCCCGGTCACTGAAGGACACCAAAATGATGCTCCGTGTTCCTGGAGCAGCCTGCGAGCATTGGAAACCCTTGTTTTTCAGAGCTACCAGCTAGCTGCTGAGCTGCATGGCACCCCTTGGGGACAGTGCGGGGAAAGAGGGCTAAGAATTAAATTCTAATAAAATAAACCACATCTGGGAAAATGACCTTAGTACGATTTTTCAATCTGGTTTTATATCTTTTTATCCTCTGTGTAGCAGTTCAGCCAAAGTGTACAGCACTGTGTGCATCCGCGCACATGCGAAGGATGCTGTAAACACTGGTTGAACATTAGGGCTGTGACAGATCACTGAGAATTTCTTTTTTATCCTATAATTCTTCCTTTCTGTTCTGTTATACTAAGCCTATTTATCTGCCTATTAAGTGTAGGCAGATAAACATCCTGCCGTCTGTCATGAAACTTTAAACTGTTTGCTTGCTCAAGGAAACGCAGCCGTTTTCCTTTCTGGTTTACAAAGGCTGTAGGGAGATATTACCCTGTTTCCCCAAGAATTTATTTTAAACTCTCTGCCCTTGCCCTGTTGTGGGCTTTTGCGTTGCTTGGGTTTAGATTTGATTTTAAGGGGACATTAGCTCTGTCCTTAGACACAAAGCGTAAGGTGCTACTTGGCACTTAAATGTTGATTTGCATTTCGCTGTTACCTTGTCGGCTGTGTTACAGCTGAGTAACAGCCAGCATCGGGCTGGGGGGGCCATGGGAGATGTCCCCCCACCACAGGAAGATGCTTCGTGTCTGATGAACGCCACAAAACGCCCATTTTGCTGGTGCAACCCGAAGCTGGGACACCCTTATTATTTCTGCAGCGGACACCTCGATGGAGGGGCCCCACCTTTCCCAACGCCCACCCATTTGGGGGGCACACTCCCACCCCCCCACCCCCCCCCCCCCCCAGCACCCCTGGAGAGGCCAGGGGGGTGCAGCCAGACCCCCCTCCTCGGGGAGAGGAGAGGCAGATGGGGCTCACGCACCCACACCCAGCTCTGCCCCATCAAACCCCAACCGTTGTCCCCAACGCCCCCGCCGCGGCGCCCGGCCACGGGGACAGCACAGAGAGGCGAGACGCCGGCCGGGGGGTTATTGAACCAGGAAACTTTATTTACACAGTAAAAGTAACAAGCAATTTCCTGAGACTGAGCTGCTCTAGTGCAATCAAGTCATGGAGGGGGTACGCGCGGGCAGCCTCCTCGCCCACCCCGGCGGGGGCACCTCGGGCAGCCCCTCCCCGGGGACACGCACGTCCCGCTGCGCTTGTGCAATTGCCAGCGAGACTTGGCTACTACAGGTCATAGCTTCAGAAAGCTTTTTTTTTGTGTTTTTTTTTTTTTTTTTTTCCTCTTCTTTTTTTTTTTTTTTATTTTTTTATTTTTTTGGCCATCCTCTTGATTTCTGGAACATCAAACCCATAAACGCTGTAAAGCACTGCTACAATCCTATAACATCCTACATAAGTCTGTTAGCCTGGTCAGCCAGGAGCTTTTAAACAATGCACTTGAAACACAACTTTATTGGCCAAATAGGCTATGCTATAACGTGGAAAAATTACAATCTATTTTACAAATACTTCTTTTTGTTTTTTGTTTTTCTTTAAACGTAATCTTTCATAGAACAGGCTCAAAGACCTGCATCTGCAAACACACAGCAAACTCCCCGTGCACGTGCTAAGACTTTTCCTATTAAAATCCTTTTTTTTTTTTTTTTTTTTTCAGGATGATGAACCCTTATTGCTGCTGACACAGCTTGCTGTCATCCTGAAACGGCTGCTGGCCAGACTGGGTCACGCCTTGGACAAGCCACCGAGTCTCTTCAGGATAATGAGCCTGTTTTAGCTACCTAGCAAGGAATAACATCCCGTGTCTGCATATTACTTTAATATCACATTCTGGCAGCCGGCAGGAATTTGCCCGGGGGGGTTACCAAAGCGTCTGTGTAATAGGTGAAGTCCTTTACAAACCAAGAGCAGGACCCCCGGGGGGGTGCCCTGCTCTCCCGCTGTGGTTGCCGCAGGCATAGGGTGCAGATCTCCTGATGCCGGGGAGCAACGCCACTTCTGACTTTACAATCAACAGGATGTCCCCTGAATCTGAGGCACATACTATATTATATTTAATATTTTTAATTACTTTATTTATATATATATTTATATATATATAAATCCACAAATGTTTTACCTCTACAGAGAGAGAGAGAGAGAGAGAAAAAAAAAAAATTTAAAAAGTAAGGCTTTCTTAAACTGAGAATAAGTACATGAAATCATACAAACCCAACAACAAATTACCCAACAGAACACCACCGTGGCCTCAAAACCGTCGCTAACTGTAGTCTGTGCCTACGCTAACGTGCCCAGTATAAGGCCATGACTCATTGGAGAAGCATCTTTAGTAAGGCAAAAGGGTTGTGCTGTATGTAAACTGAATGCTACGGCTACGTCGAGTACAGCTGGGTAGTGGTCCACTGGTCACCTTCCTACCGGGGGAGGGGGGTAGCATGGCACCGGTAGCAGCCCTTGGAAAGAAAACAGAAGCCCTTAGGAATTACAGCCCCGGTGATGCACATGCGAGAGCCCACCCAGAGCTCTGGGGCAGCAGCCAGGCATGGATTTGGGTGAATTTGCCCTTTTTCGGTCCGTCGGGAACCGGCAGCTGAGGAGGTGCCCGTGGCTAGTGGGAGCTGTGTGCCCCGAGACTGGGGACGTGTCTGGGGGGGGGGGGGGGGGTATGTATTCGAGCATGAGGAAGACTCAAAAGCCGAGAACCGTGCTGAGGCTGTGCCGTGGCGGGGCACGGACCTGGGGAAAACTCTGGACCCTCCCCAAATTGTCTGAGACCGGCAGCGCCTTCCACGACAGCAGGGCTGAAAATGAAGCCAGGATGTATTTTCTTTTCAATGGTGCCTCAAGCAATGCTTTAAAAGAGCTGGAGGTTTCTCCAAAATGAAAAGACATCCCTGTTGTCCCCTCCCCAAATATTTGGGGCTGGTCCTGACTGCCAGCACCCGGCTTGGAGGGAGCGGACGTGGCCACTGCCACGAGCAAAACCTCTGCGGTGCCAGGACAGGGATAAAGCTATATAACAGCTGATGGGTTCCACTGTGATGGGAGATGTCACACGCATCCCAAACCACCGCAGAAAAAAGTGCACTAACATAACCAGAAATGATGATTAAAAGCTGTACCAGCGGTTCTCAGCCCTTTCTGAGTTGGAGACTCCTAAAGCTTTGTCAAGGAGGGGTGCCGAACCCTGTTAAAAATGTCATGTCTTCAAGTGCTGTTGGTACCCATGACTTTTTTTCCTTTCTCGCTTTTGCAGAGCTTGGGAAGTAAACCCTGAGCTTGAGGGAACCTTCAGAAGGTGCTGGAAGCCACTCGTACAGCTTTCCTAGACCTTTAAAGAAACAAAACAAAACAAAAAAAAACAGGGAGAAAAAAAAAATATATGTGTCCTTCTAAACCTGTTAGCAAGTGGACAGCTTATTTTTACCAAAGAGAATTCATGTTGTACAAACATAATGGTCACCACTTTATCTGTGCTTAAAAAAGGCACAGGAAGAGGAAAAGCTTTCAGTGCTGCTACCTGGATTTTCAGCCTTTTGCCAGCTGACTTTGTCAAGTAACCCCGCGGCGTGCCTCAGATGCACAGCCCCTTCACAGTAAGACAGGGACAAAAAAAGAGGGTGGCAGCCGTGCCTCGGGTAGCAAAGAGGGCACAGCCACTGGTAAATGTGTAAACAGCCCAGCCCCGCTCAAAACTGGGTGTTGGGAACCCAAGCGAGGGTGGCACTGAGCCTGATCGGGGATTTTTCCCGATGGGTTTGAGAGAGGGGATTGGGAAGGGAAAAAACATAGGGAAGAAAGGCATTTGAGCATCGTTGGGCAGCGCCCACCAAGCGCTGCCACGGATGCTGCCCCGCATGGGAGCTGTGCAGGCCTGGGGTCCCTTTAATCCTCATCAGGAAAATAAAAAAAAAAAATAAAAAAAAGTTGTTTTTAAAAAAAAAAAGGTAAAAATCCAGCTCTTGCCATTATTAAATTTAAGCAGAACACTTCACTTGTGATTTCCTTCTCACGGCACTGCCAGGGACAAGGGGAGCGAGGCGGGCGCCAGGGCCGCACGGGATGCGGCAGAAGAGGAGCCGCAGCCGCCCCTGCAGCACTCGCTTTGCAAATCTCAACAGTCTGGTTTTCCCCCGCTTTTCCCAGTGCCATGGGTGGCGGTTTCTCCTTGTGCATCCCTTTCTGAACAAGCGCAGGTGGGACCTGGGGGAGCGTGGCCAGCCCCATCAGCTCCAACCCTACGTTGGCAAAAGCCAATTTCCTCACGACGCGCGAGTTTTTTGGCGATCCCTGTGCCTGGTTTCCTCGGTCGGGCAAGCAGTTCCCTCCGACTAGCTGATCTTGGCTACAGTAGTTACAAAGAATTTCAAAGATTTACACACGCACGCACACAAATTGCTCTAAATACCTGATGAAATTTTGGCAAAGCTGCTTCATCCCCTCCAGCCGGCAGGAGGAGAGCAGTGGCAGGACCCCGCAAAACCCGGCGCTGGCGGCGGGGAGCCCTCCCCGGCTCCACCGGCAGCCCCCCCCCCGACCCCGGGGCGAGAGGACCCGCTCCCTCCTCAGTTGTTTTCTATCTGCTCGATATCTATCTCGCCGTCCAGCTGGAAGAGGCCCTCGGCGCCCGTCCCGCCACCCCGCCACGCCGCCCCGTCTTCCTCCTTCCCGCCGCCCTCCTCCTCCTCCTCGCAGGAGAGGTCGTCCCTGCTGGCCCGGCGCTCGTCGGCCCGCGAGCGCGGCGGCTCCGGTACCGGGGTGCAGGCGGGGGTCCTGCCCGGCATCACCTCCGGGGAGCGGGGGGCCGCGGTCCATGGCTGGGGGCCGGGGAGCCGCGGGGAGCCGTCCTCGGCCGCGGCACTAAGGCAGGTAAGGCTGTTGAAAGTCTGGCGGTTCTGCGAAGGCAAGGGGAAAGAGGCAGCTGAGACAGGCATGGGGACAGCGACCGGAGGGAAGCCTGAAGCTGTGTCCGGGCTAGAAGTCACACCAGATGAGCCGAGGGTCCCCCCGACCCCCAAACCTGCGAGCCCCCCCCCCCCCCCCACCACCTCTCCCAGCAGAAAGCAGATGAGCAGAAACACTCAGCTCGTAGCTGCCAGGTGGCTGCAAACCCCCAGCTCCCCATCCATGGCAGGTCCTGCGCCTCTCCTGCCCCTGCAACGGGCGATGACACCAAAACCATCCCCACCCTCGGTCCCATCACCACCTCCACCCCACGCAGCTCCCTTTCGCACGTGTAAGGCAGTACAGAGCCGTTTGCCAAAAATAAACTAATGTTTCCAACAACTTCATTTATTAAATGAGCCAAGAGAAACTTCAGCCCCTTCTTTAAGCAGCTGGAGCTTAATCCTCCACTGTGATGGCTCATGGCTGCTCTTCCTTATTAAAGACCATGCGAGGTCAGTTCTCTGTCCCTTGTCTCTCTAATAAAGAGGCTTCGTGGCTGGCTGCCTTGGCCAGAAACTTGATTTAGTTTATGTACTGTCACGTCTCCAGAAAGGTTTCAAACGCCGACCACGACGAGGAGCTCACAGGCATTCCAAACCCTTCACAGCAGAACACACAACACAACCTCTCGGAGATGCTGTCTGACCACAGTGTGCTTACCTGACAGGGCATGCCTTTTACCCAGGTTGTTTTTGAAAACAGCAAACTAAGTCCTAATTAGTGAATGCCAATGGAAATAACGTGGCCATCCCGCTGGCTGCGGGGCAGACCCTGTGCTCTGAGCAGGAGAAGTCCTTGGAGCATCTCTGCGGCTTGCGCAAGCCTCTCGCAAGAGCCAGCGTGCCAAGCCAGGATGCAATGATCCGCTCTCTGCATGGACACCCAGCCCAGCCACATCCCACCCCATGGGCCGGAACGTGAAGCCAATAAATACCCAAGTGAAAGGCAGCCCTGAGCTGAAGATGCTCACCTGCTCTACGAGCCCCAAAAATCCTCAGAAATCACACCAATAAATGAGCACACGAGCATCGGCGCTCCCCTCCTCCTTACATTTCCCTTCCCCCACACGGGATTTAGGTGCAGTATGAAACCTGAAGCATATTTGCAATGAAGCAGGGGTCTGGGTTAGGCAATTCCTCACTTTTAAAGATCCCTAACTCAGGGGAGGCTTTTTTTAGTGTCAGCTCAAACCTCCATGATGAGAAGACATGGCTTATATTTTGTCTATTGGCTGTAGGAGATGGGCACATGAAGAAAAACTACTCTAAAGAAGAAAAACTACACTCTGTGATAAGTTATGGGTAGCCCATGTCTTGGTGGAAATATGGATCAGGTGGGATTCCTCAGAGGCTTCACCAGCACCTGCCATCAGTCAGTATTTTCTTGAACAAGCTGCCTGGTGGGGTTAAATCAGCAAAGACAGACGCTGGCAGCTCTTTGAGAGTCCAGAGCAGCAAGAAGTTGGTCAGTCCAGACAAGGTGACCTTTGAGGAAGAGTTTAGGAAAAAGTGGGGTTTAGGCTGGAGACACCAAGCAGGGGTGTGTGGGAGGATGTAATGTGTTTCCAATTATAAAGATCCTGGAGCACTGCTAAAGATTTCTGAAAGCTGTCAAACCTCATCACCAGAACTCATTAATACAGGTTAGACAAATGTCGTTAAACCAACGTGGATGTTGGGTTGCCTGGGGACAGCGGGAAGGTGTAGGAGAGCTCTTTGGGGTCTCTTACACTCATTTATTGAAAGGAAGGGAAACCCTGGTGCTGTGTCCATCACACCCTCTCCCCAAGAGCCTGGGCCAGACCAAAGCCGGAGCAGCCAGGAGAGCGTCGGTCCCCATCCGAGCTCACACGCCATCGGTCACACGGAGTGACAGGGCGGCTGCTGGCGGCTGCTGCGGCACAAGTCAGGACCAAACACACCACCCGAAGACACAGCCTCCCTCCAAACATCCCCTCCGACATGCCCAGCGAGTTCATGCCATTTGCTTGAGTTTTTTTTTTTTTTTGTCTTTCACATCCAGGTAAACTGGGAGTAACTCCGCCAAAATAACTTAGCCCAGGCTGAAGCAAAATCACCCTTTAACGTACACCCTGAGGGACGCCGGTCAAAGCCTCACCTACTTCACACTCCAATCATTTCTTGAGAAATCAGAGGTACTTGTGCTGAATTTGTACCCACTGACCACATGCTGCTGAGGCTTTGGGCGCTGCGCTGTGACGCACCACGGTAAAACGAGTCACTGCAGGAGATGACGCAGAGGCTACTGAATCTGAAAGGAGAAGTTCCTGCTGCCCAAGGAAGAGTTGGCCACTGCCCAAGCTGGGGAGGGCTACATTTCACGTGGCCTTCAGTCTCTGAAACCTTCCAAAAACCCATAAGCCCTAAGCCCATGTGAAAAAAACAGGCATTTGTCCTTTAAAAATGCAACTGCACCCCGTCCCCACGTCATCCTTCTCGTATTTTTGGAATACAAGAAGTGCTTTTCCACACGGTCTGTATTCTAGGTGCTGAACGCGTAACACTTCAAGCAGACATCTGCACATTGTGGTTAATGGACAACTTGTAATTACCACTGCACTTGCAGAAGGCCTGAGGACATAGGAGAAGTATTTTCTAAGTGCTTAAAAAAAATTTGCAAGCATATTTCCAACAGCAATTTAGGCACTTGAAAGCCTAAGTCTCCTGAAAGTCAACAGCACTCTCAGAAGTGCAAACCCCTTCTAAAAACAAAACTCTGGCACTTCTGAGAATGTTAATTTTTCTCCTTCTGCTAATCGAGCTCATCTCCTGGCTCCGGTGCCTCCCTGGGCTCAGTACCCAGGCATGGGTGTGCCGGGCTGCTGCGGGTGGGCTAGAGCATCCTGTGAGGATGGAAGATGCTCTACAGTCTTTAGAGAAGATGGGTGATACCCGTAATGATGATTGAAGGAGGATGCAACCTGGAGAGCAACTAACAGGTCCACGGCACACTCTTCCCATCCAAACAAAAAGTGTTTCCAAGCTTGGACACGTCTTGGAGAACATCCATGAAGCTACTTGACTTTCAGGGAAATTTTGCATTTTATTGGACTTTGGCAGGATAATCAAGCCAACAACCTCATTTTCCCTTCTCGAATCCACACATGCTGCAACCCAACATTTTCCACATACAGCCTTGAGTCATTCCAGGTAATACCTTTACCTTCCCTGCAAAAGGATGGAAAAACCCTTCCGACGGTTGCGTAGCTTCTAGCTCTGCAGCAGCTGCTCGTGGAGGAAGGCCACGTGTGGCACTCCCTCTGACAGGGAAAGCAAGTTTTCACAGGCGCCGGCTGCCACAAAATCCCACGCCTCACCTTCCCGGTGTTGGGGGGATGGGGTGGGGATCACAGCCAGGATCGGTGCTGCAAAGGTACAGGGATGAACATTCTGGGGAAGGGTCCCCCCAAGATGGTGATAACGGAGCCAGCATCGCCTGCGCTGGCCGCGGAGCCGCGGTGGGTCAGCCACCGCCATCAATGCAGCGTCTGTTCTCAACCCATCGGGAGTTTTTTTCTACTCATTTTTTATTTATTGGGTGAATTTAGCGCATGCTGAAGTGCTGAGCTGGCAAAACCGGGCAGTCAAGTCCTCTATTGATATCGGCCAAAAAGCAGTTTTGGTGGCACAATGCGGTGTTTGTTCCCCATGGCCAGGCGGCCCTGGGCCCCCTCTGAGCCCCTTGTCCTTCAGCACCAGACCGAAAGGGCTATCAGGCATCTCCAATGCTGTTGGTCTCAAGGAAACCATGGGAATCCAGACACCACCCCGGATCTGTCACAGGTGGCTTTTTGGGAGATGCTTCTGGCCATCCTGACTTCACCCAGCGAGCATCTGTAATGCACCTTCCACCCAAAACACCTTTATTCACAACCACAACAATCCCTTTCTGACCATTTAAGGTGGTGGCTTTTCTTCTCCCAACACTCCCCAAAGCTGCAGCGGTCCAGCACGCTGGGCGATCCCTCAGGGAGAGGAAGAAATGAGATGTTGCTAAAGCAAGTACCTGAAAAATCATCTAAAAATACAAATAAGAAATCCTTGGCCACTTGGAACGAGCCGCAGGGGTGCCAGCCAACCTCAAGGAGCAAAGCCCTTTTTGTGTGGTGGTGTCCAAGCTCAAGCTATGTCTCCTTCCCGCGGGGCTCTCGTGATGCTCTGCACCGTGCAGGGATGAAGGCTAAAAGCTGGGAAGGCTGTGGGAGCTGACTCACCCCCCACATCCATCCTTTTCCACAGGTTTTTCCTCCCCCTCGAGCGTGTGTCCCCGCAGGGGCCGGAGGCTGGCAGCCCCGACAGCAAGCAAGCCGGAGAAATGCCTCAGCAGCATTTCTTCGTACAACTCTTCCCCTTGTAAAATACCCAGCTGTGAGCTTTTCCCTGAAACACGTCCCTGCAAACACGGTGGATCTGCTAGAATAAATATTAGCAGGACTGTGATTCCCGTGGTGATCACGGCTTTTGCGCAAACACTATTTTTTTATTTTTTTTTTCCCAACCTGCCAGGTGATTGCTGCAATTTTCCTGGGGAAGGTGTAACGCTACAAGCTGTCAGCACCACCGGCCCTACCTACCAAGCTGTCATCACCTCCCATTAGCACACTGGGCTACAGTTGCTTCATAAAGCTGAAAATAATCCCGTTGCCAGAAGGGAAGGGGGAAGCGGGCGGCGAGCAGTGCTGCTCTGTGCAGGGACGATGCACTTCTGCCAGTCTCCCCATCCCCAGAGTCACCTCTGCTGCGGGCTCCTCTGCTCGGCTCGGGTTTAAATCACCCTCTGAGGCAAACATCTCCTGTAAAACACCTTCAACCCGGGTCTTTATCTGCCGCTTTGATCGTTTGCATCTTGGCAAAGTCCTACCTGGCGTTTGTGCCATGCAAAGCGCTCGTCCGTGCTGCCAAGGACGGCCAAGTGCTCGAGACTGGAA